GCTTCACATCCGGCACGACAAGTTTGTATCTGTGTCCGCGTGTGCTGCACAGCCTTCGTAAGCGCAGCACTGGCCTCAGCATGGGAAGTCACCGAGATGTAGAATACGGTATGTCATAATGAGGTCGACTCGCACCCGACAGTAGGACAAGGTGTAGAGTCCTGGTTTCTCGCACCGGTTTTCATACCCCAAGCCACATAAACTCGGGATGAGCCTGTTAGCAACGTGCTGGACCCGTTCGATCTTCTGTGCCTCGCCTCGGGTAATCGGAAAGTAGGCGGGCGAACCGTACTCTAGCATTGGTCTAATGATGGAACAGAAGAGGCGAGTGGCAACCTCTCTTCAAGCCATGTGCCGAAGCCAAGTTTGAGTGCCCAAAGCATCTGTAGTCGGCTACGATATAGTCTGTTCGTGTTGTCCACGGACTTCAAATCGTAGCGCGAGAGTACACCTAGGTCTTTCACGGAGGGTTAGGATATAGCGGTTGGCCGTCAAGGGTGTAGGTTCGGCTGTCAGCACCCTTCCCCAGGCTCATAAATACAGGCTTGTCCGGGTTCATCGGGAGATGAACTTCTGTAGACCATGTGGATAGACGGTTAGGGTCTTGCTGAAGTAGGCCACAGTCGTCGGGAGCGTCAATTTGCCACAAAATCTTCATTTCGTCCGCAAACGAGAGACACGGCGACCGGAAAAGCTGAGGTAGATCGTTGATATGGATCAGGAACAGAGTGGGCCCGAGCACAGTGCCTTGAGGTACGCCATTTCTAGAGGGAAACCAGTCAGTTAGATGGTCGTCGACCTGTACCCTCCACTTTCGTCCAACATGAAAGTCGCGCGTCCACCGGTGCAGTGAGCCACCGACACCACACATCTTGAGTTTGTGAAGGAAAACCTTATGGCTGACCTTGTTGAACGCTTTACTGAAATCGATGAATATCACGTCGACGGACTTCCCCTTGTTTATTGTCTTCAACCACTCATGCCTCGTCACAAGCAAGTTTGTAATGCATGAGCAACCTTGTATAAAACCGTGCTGTGCAGGCGTCAGGACCTCTTTTGACTGTAGCAACTGCAGTAATCTTTTGTTTACGATTTTCTCAGCAAACTTTGCCAAAATAGGTGTCAGACCAATTGGCATGTAGTTGTCTACTTTGCTAGGGTCGCCGCCTTTCAAGATAGACTTTACCACCGAACATTTCCAATCAATCTACAATGAACCTTCGGATAGCGACCTGTCAGTCACGACAGGAGAGATGATGGCCGAAAGTGACTTGAGAATCTGTGGGTGAAGCCCATCAGGTCCGGCAGGTTTGGTGCTGTCAAGCTTGGCCAGTAGTTGACGTACTTGTTCAACGCCGAAATCCAGACTGTCGAATTCGGTAAAAGCGGTACACGTCGAACTCGGAACAGACACCTGGTCATTCGCAAATACAGAAGCGAAGTGCACCGCCAACGGGGACGCACGCTTAGTGCTGGAGGTTAGTGCCTGTCCGTCCGGGCCATCCAGCACTGGCACATCACCTGCCGGCTTCAGGCGTCGCTTCACGTATGCAAAGATTTTCTTGGGGGTGGCGATGGCGATCTGCTCTTCGAACTGTTGGCGCTTATCACTTTGTGCACTGTTGCAGAGGTTCCGCTGACTTTTATACCCTTCGTAGTCATTGGCAAAGTCAGAGCGAAGCGATCGGTCCCACAGTCTGCGCCGCATCCCAGCCAGATTCCCATACTCCTTGTCAAATCAATGAGGCTTACTCGGTTCAACCTTCCGACATTTCAAGGGCACAAATTGGGAACACAATGATGTCAATCTGTTTTTTATAAATGTCCAAGAGCCTTTCACAGATGCAACTTGCGAAAGATACCAATCCAGTTGGCTCGCGGCTCGAGCTAGACCATCGAAGTCCGTTTTCCAGTAGTTGTAAACTGGTTCCAGCGCACGTGAATAGGGTAAAGGTAATTCCATATCAGCTATGAGTACTGATTGGTCGCTTGTAGGCAGGGACTCCAGGATCCGAACGTCACGCACTCGTTGTTCGTAGCTCGTTAACATCAGGTCGAGACAGGACGGGGTTGAGCGTGTGGTTATGCGTGTTGGCTGGCATATGTGTTGCGATGCACCAGTTTCAAGTACCAAATCCACGAACTTTGCTTCAACTTCACCATGTGTGGGCATCAAATGCACATCAGGCGATCGTATTCGAGGACAATTAAAATCGCACATAAATAAAAAGTGTGGACAACTCACATGTGGGTTCGAAGAGAGGGCAGCCAATACAAACGACTCAGGGAGCTGAGATAGACTGCGCTCACAAGTAGTTCTCCGGGCCTGAGGTGGATGGAGCACCGCAGTAGCTCACAAACCATCGTCACTTCGGTTGGTGCTCACCAGTCTCCCACGCAGGGAAGACCGGATGTAGAGCAAGAGACCACCACGGGCATTCTTAAGTCTATCGTATCAGAAGCAAGATTAACCGTCGAATTCAAGTTCCTGGGTGTATAACTGAATGCAATCATGCCGCTGCGAGCCCCACTACGTTTGGCCGCTCAGACGCAACGAAACAACAAAGCCCATCGCGCTTGTTCATAACGCTGCTACTCGCAGGCCGCAACAAGAGCGTGCTTGAAGTGTGAGTAACCTGTTTATCCTGATTCGCATATTTTTTGAAAACCACTCGAAAATTTACGAAACGGAGATTTGTCTCCCCACACCAGTACGTCTTTTCAACTCAATGATGGCAGACTTGAGTCGTTCCCAGTCTACTGGGTCTAGATCTGGACGAACATGGATCTTCAAGCCTTCCAGCTTACTTAGGCGGGACAAGATCAGTCTTGGACTAGCTTTGTCCACAAAAGTGATTCTCATAGGCCGATTTTGTTGATCACCTCGCTTTCCAAGACGGGTAATTTGCCTCACTTTTACCGAGTCCTCACCGCCGTCGAGGTATCTGTCAAGTAGACTCTGTAAAGGTCGACATCGTGATTGTAGCGCATTTGGGGTGATGGATCACTGGACTCCGGCATGTGGAAGATCACAAGGTTATAACGCCTCCAGTCGGACGAGATTGACCTTGCAGGGCGAAGTATATTACCAGCCTTACGTAGTTTGGCTAACTGTTGACTTACAGAAGTTAAACGTCAAACATCTTTTCGTAATTTCGTTCTTTGTTCTTTCCACTGGTCTTCAGCACTTAGGCTTTCACCTGTTGAGACATCAGTGCTAGTTGGACACAATAAAGGTAAGCAATTTATGCCAGGTGAAATTGGGTTTCTCACAATGGTTAAACTTCGTGCCGGTGAGTTTGCACGGGTAGAGCAGGAAGACAGAGTTGCAACCTGAAGGCTCTTCGGTTTAGGTTGTTGGGCGAAACGCACGGAACTGTTCGCAACGGAATGATGAAGCCTACACGTCAGCTTTATTCTTCCTGGTTGTATCATGTTTCGGCAATTTTCACATAAAGTTTTAACGAAATCGTGTTGGATTGCACGAAGACGACTAAATATTCAACTGATACTCCAACACATGGAATATGTTATCTAACTTTGTACAAAACAGACGTGACGGCATTTACACGGTATCCGACTAACTTGGAACAAGTACCACAGGATGATTGCTTCGGCTTTGTGAATAATCCGAAAACAAGATGGCGACCAATTGCTGGAGAAAATGGCGATAGCAAGATCGCCGAAACCAAGCAGTGAAAACACAAGTATTTCTGGTCGAAAAATTCAGAATCAGAAATGAAACTGAATTGTATCTAAATTTTCACGAAATACTTCCAATGAACGAAGAAATCCAACACAAAGTGATCTTGTCAACACAGCCAAAAATAATCGACCGGAGGCCGCTATCCGCAGAGAGAAAGAGGTCGGCTCCTCACCATGTCAGCTATTGTATCCAACCAAACGTGTTCATCATCCTTCGGACCCCAGACCGGCAGTCGGGAAACACCAACCGACGCCATGTTCGAAGTGAGGGGCTTCATTCCTCAAGACCAAGTCATCGCTTGGAAACGGTTTAGATAGTACTAACAGAATCACTGACACCCGCATTATCCGGGACGTTGAAAGCAAAAACACTGGATACGTTGTATGGTAGTAGTAAGTCTCAAGCAGGTCTTAATGAAGACATACAACCAATCATCCGAACTTCAAATGCTTCCAATAAGTCAAACTGGACAAGGACTTCGGATGAAGTTCCTGAATCAGTCCTCAGTGCACAATCAAAAACGCTTCAAACGATGGATAATTCTTTGCTGAGCAAACAGTGTTGTGTCCACTGCAACCGTAGTGGTCCATTGTAGAACGCTGCGTGGCAACGGCTCACATCATCGCTGCACTGAGTGAAAAACAATGTAACTGACAAAGGAGACATCGTATGCTCTCTACAAACCAACGTAAACTCCATGTACCCTACCGTCTTGCAGGTTAAACCTATGAGTTTGTTCCTAAGCGGTCAAACATCATGCGGTCGATCACAAGAAGTATGCAAGAATACGCGGTTACTTTAGCGCTACGGCGCAGATAAAAATGCCTCCACAATGTGGTACTGAACAATGGCGCCTGCGAATCAAGCAACATGCCTGGAGGGGGTTGGTCATAGACAATTTGTTTAGTGAGGCTCGAATTGACGAATTTGTAGGAAAATAGGAAAAACATTTATAGTAACTCTGTCGTGCGCTTGTGCGCACCATTTCGTTGAAAGCGAGCTTTAAAATCAGTCACCTCTGAAGTTACGAGCTCTATTTGACGCACGCTATCGATGGATGTGGATGTTGCTGCATTAGATGCTTTACTCCTAAGTGCGTTGACCTTCACTCGAGAGACCGGCTATCCGCTTATTTCCTCGTCCTCTTTTCCCCACAAATCGATATCACTATAGTGACTTAAATGGAGGCAAATGAATCAACGGAACTTAGGTACTCAGGTCGTAGTTGAGAAATGAAACTAAACTGAATTACCAACATGGAAAACGTTCATTGTAATAGGAAGTAATCACTCACCTCAAGTAAACGAGAAACTGTGATCCTTAATACACGAATAACGAGACCAGCTTCATCGAAGTCGGTTAGCCCGTAATCCAAAAGATTCTCGCAATAAATAACCATGCAGTCCAGTGGGATGTGTTGACAGATTTCAGCACTTAATTGGCTCGAATCCTCAAAACGGGTTGCAATAAGGGATAGTAACATACAAAGGATAGTACCACGAGTTTCGGGGTTGATTAGTAGGGAGGAAGACGAAGAGAACATATGTCTTGTAATTTCCGAAAATATTGCGATAGAGTTTGGCGACCAGAAGACTGAAACAGTAAAGCCCTCGAGAAGAAGCTTAGAGCAGGAGGCAAAGATACTGTCTCGATCCCATTCCAGATTCGGGTATCCATTTGAATCGCACGCGGCATGTAAGACAAGCAAGGCGCGTAGAATAGAGAAAATAACTATTTCGGCTCCGCTTCCCCAAACAGGAAAAAAATTCTCTCTTATAATTGCAACTGCTAGAAATGCGCGACCAACGAAGACTGTAAAAACGTCACAGGTATCCAGACTCGAAGTCAAGTGGTGCAGAAAATCAATAACAGCTTGTTTCTCACCCTTCAAGCACAGCGATCGACATATAGTATTGCAAAGATCCAGCAAACCCTTTGACTCGTACAAGTTTCTACTTTTGTCGTGCTGACGTAACCCAGGTTCGATGCAAGCCTTAACATGTTCCAGCCATTCGAGAAGAGGGATCTCGGTCGGCACATGACAATTCATAAGTACATTCAGGAGTAGAAATATCTTCTCTCTGTACTCAGGGTCGATGTCAGTTGCATGTACGTCCCATGGAGGAAATAATTCCGAAAAAGCCTGTGACAACAGCGCTGGCTCAACCTTGACACATGTGTTGCTTGATGGAAATTTAGTCTTTTGAGCGTGAATCAAAGGGTCTATCAAAGCACACAGTTTGGACTTCGACTTAGTGACTAACTGGTCCAACACTGCTGAGGACCAAACAGATAAAACGTTACTCCAAACTACGCCCGATACTGCACTGTTCAATCGCAAATGGGCACCAATCACCTTGGCACAGAGCTCGGGGAGTGCCTGATAGTTACTGAACAGTGAAAGAACATCATCGGACCCTAGGTCCGAATAAGTGAGTTTGTGCGCACAAAACATGTGCAAAATCCCAGCAAGATAGGACCTAGGGGAACAATTTATGTCATCGATTGTTAGAGGGAATGGAGAACGAATAGAGATAGGTGCCACATTGCAGTCAAAAGCTTTAGAGGTCTCGTTGAGGGCCAATAAATAGGACAGAGACGTGGCAGTCAAACTTGCAAACTCAGAGGCGAACAATAGAAAAATTTCTTCACATGTATCAGGATTTCGTTCCCATCTGTACACTGTGAGATGTGCAAATAAGCTGAAAAGTATCTTCGAGTGATGTATGTTTTTCCGTTGAAGCAGCAAACAGTGAAAAAAGTGCAGGATGTTCTGGTCCAGGATTGTGTCCAAAATCGCGAGATCAGTGAGAGCGCATGAATGTTTGATATGGTCATGTATTGCATTCAAAGCAGTAGAAACGTAACTCTGGGGTAGGTTATGTAAACACAAGAAGAATCGGCGAGCTTCTACTGTGATGATAGCTGGTAAATGTGTGTGAAATTTAAAGAAAATAACCAGCGAAAGTTTCAGTAGTTGCATACAACGTTCATCAGAGGCGGAAAGACAAAACCTATTATTCTGCAAACAGTTGATAATGACATGTTCTAACTCTTCTGTGTTCCAGTCAGAGAATGGTGGGTGAAATCTATCGGGACAAAGAATGCAGCTACATAATCGGTTGACTAGAGTGTCGTCTTGATAGTCGAGGGAAATAGCATCCGAGGAACGGAACAGATCGACGACTCGCATCGTAACGGACGCTGCGTAGGAATGTAACCGAAAAAAGAGGTGGGCGTAAACAAACCAACAAAATGGACGTGAAATGAATCAAAAGCCCAATGATAAAGATTAACTCAAACTTCATCTTAGACCAAACATACTTGTCCCGGCTGTGATTCTGGCAGCGAACAATAGGTATCAGTTACTCGGTGTACCTGGAACAGTGAGTAAAGATTCCACTGGTTATGTTATTAATGAGAATTACAGCAAGCCAACTTTAGCAAACATGGGTGGTAATGGGAACAGTGAATAGTGATGGAATCGAGAAACGCGATATCGTCCTGCTTTGGAAAATTCCTCAACGATCAGAATAAACAGTTTGCATTAAGCCTTATAAATAAAACAAATAAGATTACGTATCGCAGTTGTAAATCGGTGGGCGATCCAAACCAAGAGCCATGGCGCGTCAAATGGGTAGGACAATAATTGAGGGAAACATGTGAAAATGCGAGGAACAACGCAGAAGAATGAGTTTACAAGAATCCGCTGGAAAGTGCGATACAGCATCCCGTAATAGCGGACAGTAATGCTAACAAACAACACCTTCAAGAATTCCAAGAGCACAAGAACAACAGACATTCCAGCAAGATTATCTGAATTACACACATTCCGCGTATTCTAATCAGCTGCTTACATACAATGGGTGGAAAAATAAAACGGTTGGCATTGACAGAAAATAGCAGAATTACAGGCGCGAATGGTTGCAATGAACCAAGGCAAGTTGGTCGACGTCATCTACATCGACTTCAGTAAGGGTTTGGACAAGGTGAATCATAGGGTGCTCCTTCACAGACTGAGGGTGTGCGGTGTTGGCGGCTGGTTGCACCGATGGATCAGGAATTTCCTTGGTGGTCGCAAGTAGATGGTACAGGTCGACAAACATTTGTCCGACTAGTATCTCTCGGGCAGCAGCGTGTCCCAAAGCACTGCAATGGGGTCCATTTTGTTCCTGATCCATATAAAAATTATGCCTCAGCTTCCCCGTTCGCCCTGCACGTTGTTTGCAGGTGACTTGAAGGTGTGGAGAGTAATCCACGCACCCAATGACTGTGACCTGCTTCAACGGGATCTCGACCGCCTCTCTATGTGGTCTGCAGAGGTCAACATTCCGATCGACCCGGTCAAGTAGCAATTCATGAGGCTGGGTCAGCGTGAGCACAGTCTAACCTACAATGTGGCCAGTCAACTGCTGCATCCGGCGTCTTTCGTGAGAGACCTCGGAAGACTCTCACGCTGCGACCTAAAGTCCATGGACAATACGAATACGCCGTATAAAAAGGCCTTCGTATGCTTTGGGCACTCAAACGCAGCTACAGCGCTTCATCCAAAGAGAATGTCATGCATCTTCGTTTCAACAATACGACCAATGCTAGACTACAGCTTACCCGCATAGCGCCCTATCACCCGAGGCGAGGTAAAAAGGATTAAGCGGCCAAAGCATGTGGCCAGAAGACTGATTCCCACTTTCCGAGGTGTGCCGTAGGAAGACCGGTGTAAGCGACTAGGTCAATAATAACAATGTGTCAGCTGTACGCCGTAACGGCGCTTCGCTGTCGTGCGACCACCACCAGTCGCACCTGGGCTGAGTATAAGGCGAGGACGCCCACGGCTACGCAGATTTGAACGCGCGCCACAATATTACGAGACGCGATCGTTACCTCTAGGCTACGGGCCGAAGAGACTAGGTTGATCTCATCATGACGCACCGGGCACCACATCTCGATGGTTACCCCATGCTGAGGCCGCTGATGCATTTGTGCACAGCAAGCAGCACAAGACTCCGGTACGAGCTTGTAGTACCAGATTTGTTGTGGGTTGCCTACCAAATCAGTTTCGAACGGAGAATGGATAGACAAGATACCACAACGCATTTTTCAAACAAAGCCGATATCGGAATTCAAGAGATCCCTGGACAAACCTTGCCAAAAGAAAATATATACAGCACACTTTAACTAACACGCCTTGGTACCTAAATAAAATTAGATGCAGTTACATAAAGAAAACTATTCCTGCACCCTCCAACCAGTAAAAACTAACCATGTAAAAAAGATAAAAGAGCTAAGTCGCAAACTCTGCCTATGTGACTCACCGGCTCTGGCACGAAACCATTTGGGGTGCCCGGTACCTCATCGTTATTTTGCCGGGTTCAATTAAGCTCTAAACAGTCCACAGCCTTATGGAATGGAACATTTGCGTCCTTGGAATTAGACTGATTTCTGGCTACCTAGAAGGGACTTGTCCGATCGTGCTTGTCTAATTTGATTGCAGATTCCAAGCTCATCTGCGCGATGATTTGTGCTACGATGCCTCACCTGAGCAATTTGCAGTGGGCTGTAGCAAACAATGCATCCCACTTGCTAGTGTATTTGTGTTCCTGGTGCCTGGTATATTGGCGGAAAGACGAGTTAGCATCGCTAAGCACCTCCACAGATGAAGGTACCCGACGAGAATGGGCAAGTGGATCACACGGGTACACGCCATTTATCAGTTTTCCCATTTGGCGCTGCAACCTTGTACATGTGATCGAATGCGGCCGACGACACAACCGTCTGTCCTGCAAATGTACTCATTGAGATCTTACGAAACGTATCCGCTAATCGTTTCTGAGCCACCGCACCGCACTACGTTAAGCGATTTGTCTCCGCTTGCGTTCTTTCCCCCGACTTAACAAGCGCCTTGTAAAATTCCGTTGCATCCCCCACTCTGCCATAATCCACATCCCTGTACCTTCGGCTCTTCAAACACCAACTCCGACAACAACCGCGACAAAACATCTGCGATTATTTGTGGACCCTGAATAATCTGCATATGTCATGCAGAACATGTAGCGCACTACGACCTTTCATAGTGATCAAGTGGAAAAACCAAATTTATTTACGGACAACTGGTCTATTCAAAGCGAATCAAGTTATAAGTCAGTCGAATGAGTTGCATTTCCGTAATTCCTCCTAACATACTGTGTCACACAACCTCGTGCCTTAGCCACCACCTGCTCCAAAAATCGTACATACCACTCTCCGTTGCTGTGAACACTTTCAGGATCCCCTCGGAGCATTTCTCCATACCTTCTCCTCATGGCGTCTTTCACATAGACATTGGTTATACTCCAGACGTCCTCCATAGGATTAAGCAATGAAGAGTGAGGGACTAGTCGCAGCAACCTTATTGATCGATGCCGTTCCTCATGGAAGACGCGCTCCAAATCTGCGTGACATGACGCGTTGTCAAAAATCAGAAGGCACCGATCAATAAAAGCCGAACATTTGGCATCCAGAAGTTGTCGTGCCCATTGTGTACACTTCGCTTGTTGTAGCTTCCGCGTAAAATGCGTCGCTCGTCACGGTGCCGGCAACGTGCACGTTCTGGCCGCGATCATTCGTCACTGTACATTGTGCTGAACCCCCCGACATGACTGACCCCCTGGTGCGAGCGCAAAATTGGTCTCGTCGACCCACACACGTTGTTTTCCTTCTGCTTGTAAATGCACAAGCTACAAACCAAACAACTTCCGTCGCATTTTGTTGTCTAACGTTTTCATAGATTCCGGGATGGTGTGTAACTTCTTCAGCGTTATCAGAAGACCGTCCAGTTATCTGGAGACTAGTAATGCTCACTTCAACGTCGAACTCCGCCTTTAATCTCGAAAGAAGAGTTTGAAAGATAACTGTGGGTTTTTCAGACACCAATTCAACCAGTGTCGACGTGAATTTCTGTTGCGACGAGACTGGCGATTAAGGTGTTTCGACTGTTTACGTATGTTTTTGACCCCCTGACCTATACTGGGTGGTACCCCCGGGTCCCATGAGAGTTAATCCGACTAGGTTGGTCAATGGCTAAGAGGTCAGACAAACTGTCTCCTGGTCCTCCAGGTTGGGGGTTAGAGATGGGATGACGTCCATTTGTGTAAAACTGAATCGCTGCACTGCAGACAGGCTTTTGGTTGAGGACCCTAATCGTCTATGTCTGGGCTCCCTGGCAGTATCTCAGCACACATACAACCATGACTATTTCCTGAAACATCAACCAAATTCTGTATCAGCCGTCGCGCAACTCATCAAGGGTCGCCTTATATGTCGCATAGAGCAGGGCAGATAAGCGAAAGCATGCTACTGCTGGCTCCTCCCATTTTTCTTTTTCATCTGTCTCTCTTACTCCCTTCCCAATCCCCATTACTAGCCTACCTTCCATGATTCTCAGTTTAAATGAGACCAGCCGCAGTACCAATTGGGTCATACAACTTGCAGCAATCTTCCAGCACCACCCACTGGACACCAATCGCCAAAAGGCCACACTGCCCGTTTCTCTGGCGACGTTCCTCGTTCGCACTCTAAGACAAAAAGGTCAATAAGCTACACACACACACACACGTAGAGTACGCACGTGAGGTGTTTTCCACCTCCAGCTAACGTGTATAATGAATGAATGAATGGCCCTCACGGAGTTGCATTAATTTCTGCCCGAGTTGTCCTCTCGCTATTGGTTGCACGCACCAGGAGACGCTGATGCAGTAATAACTGGTTAAGCTGGAGTAGGCATCGTACTTCGCTTCAAGGTTGAGTGATCATTGGTTGATTTTTCTGACAAATGTAGGGTGGCGCAAGTCTCGAGGTGGACAAAAGTTGACTCGGCAGTGGGAAACGAAATCACTGGTGACCAAACGGTGCCGTTAGTCCGTCTCGCCTTCTATGCTGTAGTCCACGTGACCCGACTTGGACTTGGCTCGAGACGGGACAGGACATGGCTAGCAGTCGAAACCAGTGGCGTGTCTGCTGCCGTCTCCTAGTCGGACTGCCTGTTTAGTGTTTGGTGCTGAGTTGTCTGCAGTGCAGTGGCTAATTATGATTCGGGGCAGTGAAATCCACAAGGAAACTTTCCCACTGATACCGCTTTATCCCTGCAGGGTACGTTGGTGACACAAGGGTTAGACGCCAGGAAAGTCAGTGTTTGTTTACGTCATCAAGATTTTGCGGCAAGTGTGCCTTCTCTCCCTCTTATTATTTTTCGTTCTGCAGATCGTTGTGGTTGTACGGTACCGAAGTATGAGTTCAAATGGCTGACGTATTGCCGTTGTTGATGAAGGAACCGCGACGAGGCCCCCGTGTTACCCTCTGGGTTCCACTCATACCAACATTTGTATCCAACAACGACACGTTTTC